AAAGAGAAAAAGGTCAACATTTTTGAAGAGATAAAAGATTGATAATACATATAAGAAGAAAAAATCATTACAATGGTATCTAAATACTACATTATATGGAAGACAAAAGTTAATATGAGCTGTGATATTTTTACTAGGGTAAAGTTTTGTCACATATCATGTGTGACAATGACAATTCAAAACAGAAAGCATAATTTTCAGAATTTAAGAGCACAGCATTTCCAGATCAAAAGACACACAAGAGCCATTCAGGAACACACTGACTGTTTGTAAAAGAATATAAATTTTTGTTAATAACAAATATCAGTTTCTTAGTTTAAAATCAGCATTTCAATACCTGCATTTTTAATACTGTTCTGGTAATAACCCTGATTAAAAAATATGTTATGAAAATAATAATATACATAACATAGTTTTCTGCTAAAATGCTTTATCATTCCCCAATAGCCAAATTCTAGTAATAAAAAAAATTCAAGGGTTCCATTTTATATTATATGCTTGTAACTTAATCATCGTAAACATGCCTCTTTTTCTGGGTTCCTTAAGAGAAAGGTCATCTTGTGAAATTAAGAATGCAAATAAGTCAAACTGATAGAAAATGAAATAAATATATGCAGAATAAACTTGCAACAAAATAGTTATGAAATGCACATTTAGCAAAATCACACAAATTACAACAGACAAATAGGCAATGCTTTCAGAAAGTAAAAATCGCAATAAACATCATAAGTAGTCATCATAATAAAATATTTTAATCTCTTTGTAATCAGATGATGATTATGAATTTAAAAGCTCAACTTAAAATACCATGAGATGAAGTGCAAATGCTGCTGGTTTATGACTAGACTTCAAAAGTACAAAATTAACATTTATATGTACATATTTTTCAAATAATAAATTTTATAAATATATACAAATCTATCAGAAACTCGAAGCTAACAAAATTTTTAACTTTATCTGAATAAACTTTTCAAGCTGAAGATGAAAATATATCTAATATCCATGAGTCAGATCTCTTACAATTTAATCACATTCAGCCACAAATATTGTGTGCATTTTAATTACTTCCTAATGAGCATAAAAAAAAGGTAATGGTTTAAATTTTCAGAAATATTTATATTTTCAGATTACACTAAACAATGGAAGGATTTTTATTTTCTTCTAGTTATTTTTAAAAATTCTTATCATATAATGGTTAATAACAACTTTAATACAATTTCTTAAGTGCACAATAAGCATGTTAATTACAAGATCTTGCATTCAGCTTATCCTCAAACTGATATAGCAATGAGATCAATTGTGAGAAAAAGTAAGAAAGTGGTATAATATTGGAAGATCAATAATATATGTTATTTATATGAAAAAAATAATTGCTAAAATAACATGACAAGATTTTACTTAGGGTCATGAAAACAAAAATCTGTCTAGTGCTTTTCACCTGTTTACAAATACATAAGAAGAGAGCAAATGCATGCTTGACACAGAGCATTTTCTTAAAACAAATCAAGAGATATATAGAAGTAAAAATTTTTCTTCTTTGAAACTGAAATTTATATTACTAACTTGTTTTAATGATAAAACAAGTTAGTAATTATTGTTTAAAATACGTAATAATGGCCACTCTCATAGATACCATGATGCACAGCTTATGCACATGAATTTTCAATTATATCATTAGTGTGAAAAGATTTAAAAAAAAAAAATATAGGCTAACTAAGTTTTTTTCTGTCAACTCATTGATTGGTACATTCTTTTAGAGCTAAACAATGTGTTCTTTCTTATGAAGCTTTTATTACTTATTTTAAACAATAATTTGCTTTTAAATTTAATTTAGTAATCTAGGTGACAAGAATGATTCATAAAATTACTTTACTTGATACAAGATCAAATTAAAGGACAATGTAAACAGAGAGAACTCAAGGTTAGACATGAACAGCCATTTCATTTAGAGATTTAATAATACATGAAATCATGTATTGGATAATTTCATACAAATTTCTTATTGGATTTTCTTCTGTTTATTAGTGTGTTTTAAGTTATAAGCTGATTGTCATGATGATCATGAACACTTTTAAAAATATTTTCAACCATATTTTTCATAACTATAAAATGAAATTCTAAAACAATATTTAGGAAAATGTATTACAATAAGTAAAACATCTTCAATGGCTATTTATAATATTACTAGCATATTCATTTCATATATTTTTAGAGAGTAAACTAAGAAATATATACCTTCTACATTACAAAACATTACATTACCTAATGTACATTACAAAACTACATTAAGTATAATTTTCAAAAAGCTTTAGCAGAACAGTATACTAAAAGAAATAAATATTTACAAATTTATTTACACAGGAATGGCAATCTCACTGATGACACATGAAAGTAAATATGAGAGGAATATGGTTCATTTGGATGCCAATTTGGCTTTATCTATATGGGTATTCAAATCTTTAATAAGCTGATCTTGCTCTGTATATTTTCCAGCAGTAAGAAGGTTCTCCTTTTTTGCCAAGAGATTTTGAAGATGTATATTACATTCTTTAGGTGTTGTATTTCCATTCATGTCAGGAGTGTCTTTAGTTGCTTTAGTTAAGCTGGCAAATTTAGGATTGGTTTTCATACTATTAGAAGTTATAAGGGGCTGTGCATTACTGGAAACATTTACATTTGACTTAACACTTGTACTCTCACTGGTTAACTGTTTTGAACCATTTATATGAACACTGTTGTTCACAGCAGATTTATTCATTAATGGATTTGAATTCGTCCTGCTGTTGGCTGGAACTGTTTGAGCATTATCAATTCCTAATGAGATTTGTCTCTCTAACAACTTGACACTCTCGGGTGATACAACAGATTTTAAGCTGAAATTAAAAATTATAGGAAAAAGAAATATATTATTCATACAAAAAAAAGTTATTTAGTACAATAGCTTAAAAACTGCATGAAATATTGCAAAGGAAAAACTATTTCTTTTTGGAGCCATATAAATGATAACTTTACATTATCTGATAACATACTAAAAATAAGCTGATTTTAAAGAGGACTAAATTAATTTTTAGTTGTAAAAAAAGCTTTTAAATGCTTTTATCATGCTTTTTAAAATATGTTGACTGAAATCTTAAAAGATTAACACAAAGGAAAATTATTAACATGCATTGTTAAATGGCATTTATAGCACACACATTGTTAACATGCATTGTTAAATGGCATTTATAGCACACACAATGTTAAATGGCATTTATAGCAGTTTATATGAAACAATTACATTAGTTTACTGCATAACTTAATTCAATTTTATACTCTATCAAGACTGAAGCTCCAGGTAATATCACATAGTATAGCTTTAAAACTCAAAATTCTTACAAAAATTACTGATGCAATTTCTACATATTTTTTATGCAAAAAACTTCAGTGGTTGTACAAACTGTACACATTTAATGATGAAAATAAATTTTTTAATTTGTATACAGTAAAGGAAATATTATAGCTTCGCTTTTAATTTTTCCAGAATTTAGAAACATCTGCAAATAGGTGCAGCAGAAAGTTTAACAAACTATATTTGACAGCAGTAGCATTATTCACTTCATTACAAGCATTTAAGCTGCAGAACAGCATAATTTATTCAAAAGATAGTTGAGCATATTTTTATGTACTTCACCAAAAAGATAACTATGAAAATGACATGCTAAAAACGAGTATAAATATTAACTTTCATACAGGAGAAAAAACACTTGAGGGATTGCACAAAGAATTAAATTTAAGCAATTTTCAGTTGCATAACTATTCAAGAGACAGATAAAAACTAATAAGATTGAAGAAATTTAAGGCAAGAACAAGGAATTAGTATTTTTTTTTTTTTTTCAATACATTCACTTAGAAACACAGTTAGCACATTCAAGGAATTAAAATGCATTGGGGAAGCATACTTGGAAGACAAGACATAACCTGAACTAATGGAGGTTTGCATAGAAGTGTGGGCCTGCAGGTATGTCATTTCATGAACAATCCACTGCTGATAAAGAAGATCAAGGTCTGCTTACTTTAAATGAGTGTAACAAATTAAAAGCTTAGTGGATGATAATTGGAAAATGGCAGTATATTTTTGTATTTTTGTTTAATCCAAATTTCATTAGCAGCTGTAGTGAATGCATCACTGAATCTATGCACTACGAGCCTGAAGTTTTGAGAAAATGCTACGGCAATCACATTACAGGAACACTGAAACATCTACAGTCCAGCTTGGTAAGTTGCTGTACAACACTAGAGCCATTTATTTTTAACTTAGGGCTACCAGGTTAGGAATGCTAAATGCAGATGATGATTCAGCAATCCAAATACTGAGATTTAAGACTAACAATTTTACAACAGTCATACGTATTATATGTCTTATGAATTATGTTTTTAGCATGTCACATAACTATGCATTTATTACACTGATTTTCAATAAGGGAAAAAAAATCTTGTAGGACATACTGCTAGTTTGAATTGATAGACTGGCATCAATAGACTTGAACTAAATGCTATCTTAATGCATTTTCAAGAAAAGCGATTATTTGAAAAATAATTGTTATTACATAATAAATTACTAAATTTTAGGAACTACTAGTAGAAAATTTAAATGAGATTATTTTGTGACATATTACTGCTTACATTGAATATAATTTCAAATAATACTAAACTAAAAATTTTTAATAATTTAACTTTTTTATAATTAATTAGATTAAAATTCAAATACGTAAGAAAAATTTCACACATTTCTGATGAATGTGGAAGGAAGAGAAAAAAAAAAAGACCAGTTAAAATTATATAATATGATTTAAATCAACTATTTTTTAATTTATACATAAAATGGTAATTTCATAGTTCTTTTAGAAATAAATATAACATTTTATTTTAGAATTACAGTCAAATTAAAAATTTAGATATGCATACTGCATTTTGTTAATCAAAAAAAATTAAATAATATGCTTTAACTTTAAAATTTAAAATCAACTTATCTTTGCCATTTCAAGAATCTCCTCATTTGTTTGAATAGCATTTTTATCTTCTGAGGCTAAAATTCTCTGTTGCAAAGAACTGAGTTCTTCATCCTTCTTAGCTAGTTCAAGACGTTCCATCAAATGAAGTTTTTGCTGGAGAAGAGATATTTGCCTTACAGCTTGACCCCACTGAATTTTATATTTCTGTTTAGATGCTAAAGTAGCTTCTAGTTTCTGCTGCAATTCAGCCTGAAATTAAGTATTATATATAAATAAAAAATAAATTTTTAAACCATTTCAACCCTGTACCTTTTTAATTCTACAATGAGTCATTCTACCACATATTTTTATCACTGCATCACTTCTTGAGTAGTACTGTATACCTATTTTCTTTTTAAATCTTTCCAGGCTGTATAATGTAATTACACAGCTTTGCAAAAGTGATATCTTACATAATTTAAATTATCAATTGACAGAATGGCCCCAGAATACTACCCTCTATGAGATAATATTTTAACTTACACTGAAAGTAAATTAAAACAGACGCCCGACGTTAAAGATCTATTTTAGTATTTACCTACAATTCTATTTCCCACAAAGTGTCTGTTTAAAATGCTTTGAATGTTTATTTGCCCTCATTTTAAAGAGCTTCAATAAAGTGATAATACAGTGAAACCTCACACAGTGACCCATTCTAAAACATAACATACTTACATTTATGCAGATTCTTCATTATTTAATTTCTTTAAATATAATACAGGGCTCTAGTATTTGGTGACAACAATTTAAAAAGTGATTTGCCATTTATAGTGAATCATTGTAAATTGCCAAAATGAAATCAATAGCCCTTTGGGCTAAAAAAAAAATTATGACTTATAGTATTTCAAGATCTAATATTAATTTCATTGAAAATATAATACTAGGGCTTAAAAAAAAAAGTAAATTTTAAAAAGTGATTTTTATAGTGATATCATACTTTTTGCAATATATAAATGGATCTTGGGACTAAAATGATAGATTCTAAGTTTCCTAAAAATAACAGATACGAATCCTTAAATGTCCTATATTAATCATAATCTTCTGAATAATCAGGATAACAATGGGCATATTTATATATTAAACTGTTTTTTCTTTAATTGGTATGTAAAATTTTTACTAATCTGAAAAATTTTCGTAGTTGATGAAAAATTGTAATTAAAAAAGTACTAAAAAAAAAATTACATGACTAAATTAGAGGGAAAAAACCAACTGTACCTCCCCCCCCCAAAAAAAAAAAAACCACAGTATGTGTTTTTTGAATTAAAAATTTCTCTTATTTCTAGGCAAAAGTCTGTATATAAGTATTTAAACTTACATATAATACACATTCTTAGAATTTATATTTAATACAGCAAAGATATTTATTAAATATGTAAGATAAGTATTACAATTAATTATAATAGCAAATATCCTGAAAGCTATTTAAAAAAATTAATGACAAAGAAACAAATTTAAAAATGTATTCGAGAGCAATTTAAATACGTACCTGTCGCATCAATGAACTATTTTTCTGTTCTAAATCTCGAACATTCAACCTTATCAGAAAAGAGACACCTTTACTTTTCTTATCTTTTTATAAGTTTCATCAATAACAGTAATCACAATTCCAAAGCAAAATTAAATTATACATGTTGTCTAATTTTCTAATCAAAAATTAAACACAAATGCAGTTCCTTTATACACTATCCAATAAGTGCTAAATTTTGCATTAAAAATAAATTTAATGAACAAACAAAAACATATTTTAAATAAATTTCACCACAGATACATGATATATCCTCATATTTAATTATACAAAGTTTTTTTAATTAAAGAATTAAATAAAGATTCTCAAGCTAAGATTACAACACATGCAGATCATGCACAATGCTGCATTACCTTTCCATAGCTAATAGTTCGTTGTATTCCATTTTGATTGATTCAATTTGGTTCTTTGTTTCCTTCTGCTGCTGCTCTTTCTGCTTGTCCATATTACGCAACTTCTGAGACAACTAGGGAGGGAAATATTCTTTCAAGTTCATATAGTTTCAAAATATTTACAGCTGTCAAAAATTTAATATTACATAAATTAGAAATACTGAATTTCTACAAAACACACACATAAATATATATTCTTCAGTTTGTAAATTATTTAATATTTTTGACTGCAATTAATTTGCCGATATATTTAACTTAAAATTTAATGAAAATTTAGAAAGCTTAAAAAATTGTCTGAAACCAAATTGCGTTTTTATACTTATGAATATATGAATTTTTTAGCACCTACATCTTTCTGTACAGTTGCTTTCTCTCAGTCACATACTGGATTCCTAGGAAAGTACCTTTTTTTTAACCATCACAGAGATTAGTTGTATTTTTAAGCAACCAACTTCATTCTACACCATATTGTTGATATATAGTTTGACAGCTGATATTTCAAAACTTCGCTGTAAACACTTTTGTTTGATTCCATGCAATTTTTTTTTAGAGTTCCATCAAATACAGAAAATCAAAAGCAGCATTTTTGGCATATTATGTTACTACTGAAAATATAACGCTGTTCAAGGACCAATTTAATTATGACATATATTTTTAATTATGAATCGAAGCAGCCAAGCAAAGAGATGTTATTCAGCAAGCAAGTTTAGATGGCAAAAGAGAACATGCAGACGGGCAACTTAAATACTTATAGTCAGGATACTGTTTGTTTGAATTCTTGATAGCGACTGGGCAAGAGTTTTCACAGTACAGCCTTAAAAGGATTGTATTTATATTTTAAATCAGAAATTTATAGGAATTTATAGAAATTTTGTATATAAACACACGCATTTCAATTACTTCAAATATAATATAAAATAAGCTTTGACTATAAACTGTTACACCAAATACAGAAAAAAAGTCACCATTCTATTTTAAAATTATTTGAAAATATCAAGTGCATTATAAAATATACTCTACCTCTGCCTCTTGAGAAGATAGCTGCTTCTCTTTCAATTCAGCATCTTTTAATGTTGCTTTTAATTTATCTTCAAGTTTCTGACATTCTTGCAACTGTTAATAAATGACACATAAACATACAAAACTGCCATTTGATTTAAAAAAAAAACTAAATATGCTATAGCAAGTAAAACAAATACAGAGCAGCAATGTAGTTTATTTTAAAATTGATTAAAGAAAATTAATATAGAAAACTGTTTTGCTGATATTTATTTTTTAAATTTACCTTACTTTTTTTTCACATAATATTACAGTTGTTGCTTGCTTTTATATAAGAATTAAAAAAGTGTTCTAAAAATTTATCTTAAAAACTAGCACACAACTGGATATCCGATCGCATTTCTTTCCAGTTTCTTGTTTATAATATGCAACTTTACAATATCTGAATATTTGAATAACAGCATCTTTGTCCATGCCATTCAGAAAACTGGTGATAATTAATTCTTTACTGCTCATACCTACTAATATCATGAGCTAAAATGTATACTCTAGTTTTTAGTTCACATGATGCTGTTAACTGAAATTTTAAAGTAGTCAAAAATTGAACCGACAAAAAAATAACAGTCATAGATGCTGGAAAAAAAAAAAAAAAAAAAAAAAAAAAAAAAAAAAAAAAACAGGTACAAGGTAGCTGGAAAAATTTAGTGTTGTGGAGCTTTACCAAATTTTAAACAGTTCTTTGGTTTCCCGAAAATAATTCTTATTAATTTGTGTATATTATCGAAAATAATGAAACTAGCCTATTTATATAATATTAGTAATTTAACACTAACCCTGAAGCAAATGATTATTTTATATAATATAGATAATGAATTTAATGACAGTAGTAATGCAGCTACACAGCTATTTGAACAAGAATGATATTTTATTACTCTTTAATTTCTTTATATATTACTGGTAGCAATATCTATATAAAAAATGTCAGAAATTAATGTTCTTTTATAATAATACAGATATGGAAAAGCTGAACCTTAGTTGCACAATTCCTATATGCTGCCATTTTCATACCTATCTATCAGATAACTTTTCTGTCCCAGTATTAAAAAAAAAAAAACTGCATATTTCATTAATTGATTGCTTTAACTGAAAAAAGGATTTTCAAGAATGTTTAGTGATTCTTGAGTGGGTAAAACTTGTATTTTTAAGTTTCAATTATTTTATTCAAATTTATTTATAGTTTACATTACTCATTTATATATATATATTATTTTGACATTATTTAATCTACACACCTCTAAGCTTTTAAATAACTATAAAACTAAAATTTGGAATATTTTAACTCTTATGAAATTTTTGAATTCTAGGTAGATCTTCCACTACTTCACTCAGTAATTAAGATATTGAAGCATCAATAAAGAGCAAACTGATAAATTATTTTAAAGAATATTGTTCATATCAAAAGATAGCTGCTTCCTCTCAAAATATCAAAAAAATATTATCTAATCACATGAAATAAATACTAAATGTTTAAGTCAGAAAAGTACAGGAACATATGTTCTCAGAATATACTTTTTTAACACGAAAGATTAACTGAAAAATATTTCATGTTCATTAAGTATGAATATGATCCAGCCTGCCTCAGGCATGGGGACATTCAATGCTAAAGCATAATACTTACAGAATACTGCAAGTAAAAGTTTTAATGATGTATTGCTTTGAGAAGAAACAAAAAAAAAAAAATTTAATTAAAATTAAAAAAAAAAATTGCATGATATACTGTTTTGAAAGTAATGTTCATGTTTTTTAAACTCCAACTAGTAAATTCCTTTTAATTTGCTTTTACCTTCAGCCAGAGAACATAAGTGGATATCATAAGTCTGACACTCTGTTATACAATTTAATGAGTGCTACCTCCTTGCAAGTAGCAGAACTTTTATGAAGCAAAGATGACTTTTTCTATTATTCAAAAACTATTAATGTGAAATGAATAAAATAAATAATTCTTCCCGATTAGTCACTAATATTTTATTAATTTACCCACTCAATTTACATGTGCAAATTATATTACTTTGCATGTTACAATTGAATAGTAGAAGAATTTTTAAATATTAAATTTTATGTCCTCTTCCAGACTCTCAAGTGTATAGAACAAACATTAGTGGTTTTCGAATGCCTGCCTTTATAAACATCCACGGTAATTCCCTTTGCTGACTACTTTTCTTTTCATACTATATTGAATTAACAGAAATTGGGCAATAATTGCCTAAAATGCATTCTTTGGAATAATGTATAAAGCTAGCTTCTATTTAACAGTTTTCTCAACTAAATAAAAACACCCATATTTAAAATTAATGACAAATGACACAATAATTCATTTGCAATATTAAAAATATCCTTCATAATTCTTTATACAGAAATACACATAATTGTTCCTGCATTCTGCTCAGTCAATATTTTAACTACCCACACATGGCTTGAAATTTCTTACAGAATAATTACTAACAAGTTTATTTTATGAATAACAATACTCTCCACTATCACATGTATTTTTCTATAACAATTGTTACTTAAGTGACAAGAAATGCAGTTAAGAATTGTACACATTAAAAAAAATAATAAAATTACAGATTTTTCTTTCCATACTTTCAGGGAGTTTAACTATAAATTTTTAACCAATTTTAGAAGCAGTAGAGAACATGTACTGAATAAAAAGTTATTTTCTTAAGAAATATTATTTCTGAAACATAATACCTGTCTCTGAAGCAATAATTCCCTTTCCATATCTCTTTGCTTCCATTCTGATGTAAGCACTGACAAATGTTGCATTTCTTTGTCTTTAAGCTATAAAAATTAAAACAATAATACACATTAAGAATGACAACACCATTTAAAATATACAAAATAGAGCAGGACAAACATTTCCTAGTTACCTGGGCTCTAAATATTTCCCGTTGACGCTCTTGCCACAGTTCAAGCTCCAAAGCAGCTTGAAGCAACTCATCTTGGGTCAAGCCATTTTGTCGTAACAAAGGTAAATCAAAATTAGGTATGAAACTATGAACCTAAAAGATAATTTTTAATTGTTATTATTTTAGAAAAAATAAATATAGCAAATATTTAATAGCTAATAAATATCTAAAAAATGATGAAAGCAAAATGTTTTTAATTGTACAAAATGAAATGGACACAGATTTTAATGTTTTAAGTATAAAGTAATTTATTTACTTGTGGATAATAAGAAACACTTGACTGATTTGAATGATGATCACACAGAGAAGTTGTGCGCCCAAAATCAATTAAAGTCAAAACTGCATATATTTCCCCTATTTCATACCTAAAAATAGATTCCAGTAATTACATTAATTATTAATATAAATGCAATTGTCTGCATAAAAAATGAACTATTTCTTTAATATTTACCCTTCAGGGGATGTAACAACAACTTTACATGTACTCATCTGCCTCATGCCTTGCTTTTTGTCAACCTAAATAAATTAATGAAATAAATATAATAAATTTATGTGCTATTTTTAAAAACTAATATTATAAAAAGGGTAAACTTAATTTTAATCATAATTTAAGTGACAAATAATTACTAAAGCATGATTTAATGTAATATTCACTTAAATGGATATAATAAGAAATATTTGAAAAACATTACAACATAAAATTATAATTTATTGCATACAAACTCAAAATTATATGCAGGTCTAAAAGTCTTATTTAATCACTGCGACTTTTAGTTGCAGTATTCTGTAAATAAAACTTTTACAATTTTGAAAACTAAATATAAAAGTGCAGTGTAAATGAAGAGCAATTATGAACAGACATTTCTTCAAGAACTTGAGAGAGGAGGTGAATCTGATTTCAAATAGCTTTAAATAAGTGTTATATTCTGAAAGCAAATGGAAGAGCAAAATTTGTGTTAATTTTGAACGCAAAACACTTAAATATATTGCCTCTGAGAAAAGTACATACACATTTCTGAAATGTAGATTTCTCATAAAAAAACAGTCACATTCAGAGGCAAAGATTTAAAAATATTAGAACTAACTTTTGCAGATGAGAATGAATACAAAATATTGTTACGTTTTTCTCTTCTGACACCAGTTGTTACATTATTTGCTTCCTTTTCATTCGTATGGGGTTCGTAGATTTGGAGTGAATAACGACGACACTTGATGAAGTATCGAAACACACTTTATTTACCAATATTAATCAGATAGCTCCAAAATCACTTTCACAGTCGTTGACGAACTACTATAAACATGCTGACATGTTCAGCAACACAGCCTTCACACTGTCAGGCAATAACGGTGGAGACAGCTTCACTACAAAGCACCCAAGTACAGCTCCCAACTCTGCTTGGTCGTTCTCGGAACTTCACGTACTCTCGAGACTTTCCGCGCGATGCACTCGACGATACAGAAGAGTATAGCTCTCGACTCAGCACAGTCTAAGACAAAACTCAACGATGCACTAAAAGACTCTCTCGATGCACTTGACAACCAACTCCGCGCTAGACTTCGAGACACTCGCTCAATGATTAACTATCAGCTCTCTAGACGAGGCACACACACTAACTGACTGCGGACCAGCAGAGTTTATATAGCTTTCGGCTTGTGTTCGAGAATATTCTGGGCTAAACCGGTAAGAATTCGTTCTAGGAGGTTCTCCATCCGTCCATGGTATATCGCTAAATGGGCAATTTCTCGTCAAATGTGGCAACTCTGCCCTCCCTTGACATTTTATGGCAACCCTAAAACTGCTTTGCGGGGAAGCCATCTTACTGCGCCTGTACTTTTCGTAACAATATTTTCATTATTGTTAATTGATCATATGAAAGGTAAATTTTCAATTTATATAAATTTGAAATAGTAAATAATTTAATTTAGCATACAGTATTCCCTTATAAAAAAAGAAAGTCATGTCACAGATTAATATATTATTCATATCATATAAACAATATTGATGAAAAAGAAAGATAAGGGAAGGCAGATAATTTTATTAAGGTTTCTGAGCAAAGAATTCTTTTTTTTTTAATAAAGAAAATTTTAATAATTGTGAAAATGAACTGAATACTGATAGAAAACATGTTTTCTATTCAATTGTCTCCCCCATTTTAACCCATTAGTACTTCTGTACAAGATTCATAAAACATTTTAATTAAATGAATATATACTGGGTGATTCAAAAGTAAGAGAAAAAGTAGACAATCAATAATTTGAAAAGTATAGATGGTAGCAGTATGTAGTTTTCTCAGAAATGACATAAAGACATTGGATTTTTTAAAAAATGAAAAATTTAAATGACAGAATAGTTATATTTTTCACTAACAGATGGTCTAAAGTGGTCCCAATGCTACATTGGCATTTTACATTACACTGTGTGATGATCGTTTGGACTTGTCAAGATATATTCTTACAAAATTCAACATATATAGGAACTGAAACCTCATAATTTCAAGAGATGTCATGAATTGGGCTTTTCTACATATGGAAAACAATGTAGACTGGCTGTCAAATATCATAGGGATTGATGAGAAGTACTGTTTGCTTAGCAAAAATATAAATGCACACAGCTTGCACGTCTGAGGGAGATGCCATCATGCAATTGTAGAAACCTCTGTGTAGCAACCTAAGATGGCAGCATGGTATTGGTTCACTGCATCATTAATTAGCCCCTTTGAGGAAGGTCACAAGATATCAATTTCAAATTGTTTATCACAGTCAAGCACTATGAAGCACCTTTAAGAGCATCATTTGCTTGATAGTGTAACATTTATACATATGCATTGCCTCAAAATGGGTGCCGCACAGCATCTGCTGGAATCAAATATACAGATTGGGCGATGTTATTAATACAATTAATATACTGAAAGAAATTATTTGCCATCAAGTGACAGGAATTATAATTTCTTCAACGGTCAACACCTCCTTCAATGGTTGTGCAATATAAGGTTGCCATTCTCAAGAATGATGTGCATTAACTACACATTTGTTATCCTAGCTGCATTGCAATGCATGCTGCACCATGAACTTCTGACACACAAATTTCTAACACGATTGAAGCACCACCTGTGAATGAAAAATGTAGTTATTCTGGCAATAAAAGCTTTCATTATTATTGTGTATTAGACTTTCTTGCTGTTGAATTTTTTACTGTAACTTTTAGATCACCTGATGTGCACAAACACACACATGCATGCAAGCACACACACACATATATATATTCGGTCACTCAGAAAATTCTTCAATTCTTTTATGATAAAAACAAAGAATGTACGAAAACGTCATTGAATCACATAAGCACCTTCTTATGCTATGACACTTTGCCATCTCTCCAGCAGTTGGAAAAATCCTTTTTTTTTAAAAAAAATTTTATTTATTTATTTATTTTAAAGTTATTAACACCTTGCCTGTGATGCCTGAACTCAGGTTAGGCAATGCAAATGTTGCAATTTTGGAAAGCCCGACCTGAGTCTGGGCAATAGAAAAATTTGCATAGTATGTATAGTATGTAATTTACCAATGCATAGTATGTAATTTACCATTTTTCCAATAAATGGCAATACTTTCCCATGAAAAGTTTGACAGTTTCATGCCATTTGTCAGATTTTTGTAATTTTGAAGTTCTTCCCAAATTTCATTCAAACCACATTATGTTCGCAATGTCAAAATCAAATGATGATGAAGAATAGTTTTTAGGCTCTTCATGCTCAGATACCAATATTTCAACAGAAGAGTATGATTATTCTGAGAGTGACGACAAAAGTGAAACTCTTTCATGCCGAATCTGGATGCCAATATGTTTGAATAACCTTCCTCCAAGATTGCCATTACAGCAACCACAAGTAGGTGCAACAATTGACACTTTTACTAAAAAAGAAACAATGTTTTGAACTAGTTTTCAATAACAATTTGCTTCCCACAATTATGGAAAAGATTAATAGATATGCACAACAATGCATTTAAAGGCAACATCTGAAACTAAAAAAAGCCAATCAAAAAGGTGGGTGCCTACAAATGACAATGAAATGAAAACATTTCTGTTGCTCCATGTTTTACAGGGTACTATTCAGAAGCCTGATGTCTCATTGTTTTGGTCAAAAAAGACATCTCTTGAGACTCCATTCTTTCACAAAATTATGTTTTATGACAGATTTCAAATGATAAGAAAATATTTGCATTTTGTGAACAATGAAGAAGTCAACCTTGAATCACACCCTAATGCAAAAGTGCAAAAAATTTGGCCCATTTTTCAGTTTTTCAATGCCAAATTTTGTTCACTTTACATCACTGATCATGATGTCACTATTGATGAAAGCCTGATGGTATATGGTAGATTGGGATGGATGGTGTCCGCCGATAACATCGCGGAGAAAACAACGCAAGGCGAAAACGTCATGCTACAAAACATCGTGGGAGAAAACATCGCAGTTCTAAAACATCGTGCTACAAAACATCGTCGTCGAAAATAAAGCGGTTCAAAAACTTCGCAGTTTAAAAACATCGTCGTCGAAAATATCGTGGTAAAAAATAAAGTATCTACAAATCATCGCATGACGTAACTTCGCAGACATGCTTTTTTCAGGTTTTAATTATTGTAAATGGATATTCCCATAATGATTTGTGAGCGCAGTATGTAAAGAAGGATAATTTTTATTTCATTCACATATTTTATAACTAATAAATTTTTGCTGAAAAAAAGAAAGAAACTTAAGCATAAAAAATTAAATGCAAATTATAGATTATACTTTTCATGAAAAATTACCAGTAAAAACTTTATAAAAATGATTTATTAATGGCCTTTGTTAGTTAACGATGTCGGTTTAAAATTCTATTAAGTGCTATAAGTTGCATTAATTTTCTATGCTTAAGTTTCATTCTTATTTTCTCAGCAAAAATTTATTAGTTAATAAAAAGTATGAAAGTAAAAATTATCCTTCTTTCCATCTTGCGATCACAAATCAGTATGGGAATATCCATTTACAGTTATTAAAGCCTGAAAGAAGCATGTCTGCGATGTTATCGTCATGCGATGATTTGTAGATACTTTTATTTTTTACCATGATATTTTCGACGACGATGTTTTTAAACTGCGAAGTTTTTTAACCGCTTTATTTTCGACGACGATGTTTTAGAACTGCGATGTTTTGTAGCATGACGTTTTTGCCTTGCGTTGTTTACTCCGCGACGTTTTCGTTCGCGATGTTTTCGGCTGTAACCGGGATGGATACAACACATGCCTCTAAAAAGATCTCGCTGCGGCATAAAAACATTTATGCTATGCGAGAGTAAGGCTGGCTATATTTTTTCAAGCATCATCGAAAGGGCACAAAGCTTGACAGCGAATATGCATATCTCGGCATGTTTGGTCAAGTAGATGATATGAGATCTCCGTTAGCCAAAGGATTTGTTTGATCACAGATAATTATTATAATTCTGCACAGTTAGCTGATGAGCTTGTGCAACAATATTCCACATATACAGAACTGTGCAGGCAACCAGGAAGGACTTACCACTAGATAAAAAAAAAAAAAAAAAAGAAAGAAAGGTGATGTTTTGGCTTTCCAGTGTGGGAAAGTCACAGTCCTGAAATGGAAAAGAAAGAAATTTACCTGCTTTCTTTGTTCCATACTGCAGAAATGATTGAGACGAAAGATTAGAAGAAGCAAAAGAAACTGAAATCTAAAGTAGTTGCTGACTATAACAACACTATGAGAGGCGTTGTTACAGTCAAATTGATCTTGAAATTATCAAAATAAATAAATTAATTGATGATTGATCTAATTAAAATTGATCTTGAAAATTATGTCATTAGATTTATTTTGCTATAAAATACTGAGCAAAAATTACCGTAATCCACTAACATTTCCCATATATGTGAAAATATTGAATATAGTAGTTATTTGGTTTAAAAATTTTAAAAAGTAATCTATTTCCAACATTTTGATGATAATACCAAACAAAATTGAAGAGAAAAAAAAAAGTTTTTTCCATTTTTGGCACAATTTTCTCAAATATATTCCACAGGCAAGGGGTTATGTGTAAAGAATATATCGACAATCTCCAATGAAGTGAATTCCAGATCATTCAGAGAATTTTGAAGTAACCAGAAGAGATGAAAATCTACGGTTGCAAGGTCTGGTGAATAAGTAAGGGGGGGGGGAGTAACACAAAACATCTTAACCATAATTCAATAAGTTCTTTTCCTGGCATTTATCAAAATTTGGGACTTAGCATGGCTTTGATGGAAAATAGCAGCTCAACAACTGGTCAGTTTTGAGTGCTTTGCTTCAAAACTGCCATTTGGGAGCAGTAATTTTTCAAACTTATTGTTTGATTTAATGGTAACAATTCATAAAATGCAGTTTCTTTGCAGTCCTATCATACACAAAGCATTGCGATTTTGGTATGTATTCTCCCACCCCTCTGTGTTACTAATGGAGGCTCTTCTGGCTTATCCCATGATACTTTACAGTACCAAGTCTGAGATCTGGACTCATTGAAACTTTCGCGATTCCAGATATTAGATTATCAGTTTAAATAAAAAAAAAATGACATGTAAATATTATAAAATTAAAATTTTAAAATAGTGATTTATGAAATAATGAAGTACTTATGACCTTCCAGGAATCAAAATTTACCAAAGAAAAAGCTCAACATTTATTTGTTTGCTTTACTAAACATTTCTTTCAATGTAAGTTGTTTAATTTGCTTCATTTTTTGTGCTAATACTTTCTCTTTAATTCTACACACAGAATTAAAGAGAAAGTTCTTGCTCAATTACATGGTTCCATTGTTCAAGTTCTGTAATTGCTGCACCGAGAATTCCCATTAAATTGCCAGTCGAAATTTTTTTCATTCTTGATAAACTCTCTACAGTTCACTATTCCTTAGTTGACTGATGATTGGGACATTGTTATCGCAATGAAAAACTTCTGTTATACTATCATTATTTTTTATCTCTTAATACACAGAAGACAGATTAAATTTAAAAGGTAAATATTTTACATTTTCCTAAATTACAATAGACTTGAATGACAAAGTGAATTTAATGCATTGAAGTGAAGCAGTGCAAAATCATGTTTTGGGATTAATAGCCCTTTTGCGTTAAAAATATTTGATGAGAAACATTTCCAGAATACAACAGATTTTAAATAATCAATATGGTGAAACCTTATAAAATCAAATAAAAAAAAACTTACAGTATGGCTAATAGAAGGAGCATCCAAAACTTGAAAAAGATTTATGCGTGCAGTACCAACTGACTGTTCTTGACCATTCTTTTTTCTATGAAGAACCTCTAGAAGAAGAGGTGTCCTAAAAATAAAAAATAAAAACTTATATAATTTAAGCCCACTTAACTTGTTCTAAATTTTCCATACTTACAAAATATAATTAAAATTCTATCAATAAAATATGAGAATAAATGAATAACTAACTAGATGACTATTGTTATAAAATTTATGTATGAAATTCAACGTTTAAAAAAAGTAAATATGCTCCATAAACAAGAGTTTCAGTGCATATTTTTTCTTTTAAATGCACAACTTTTTTTGAACTTCTGATAAATATATTCATAGCTCCTTTTAAAATACTTCAAAAAAGTTCTGAAGTACATACGAGAAAAAGTAACTATAACCCTTTATAATCAAGTTAAAAAAATAAAAGCTCTTACTCCCAAAATGTTGACTTCAGCAAATTGAATGATGTGGCAAATTTAAAGGCACAGTAACCATGTGGAATACTGACTTCACACTTTGGATTAACTTCCACTTCTGGGTGAGTAATCATAGCTGAATTAGTTCCAAAAAATGGATAAGAATACCTAAAAATTAATTATGAAGAGAAAATTGAGATTAATAAACAATAAAATTCTGATTCAAAACAATAAATTCACACATTTTTATAGTAAAAAATAGCAACAAAGACTCATATAAAATAAAATATTTTAACATTACTTAAGTATTTGGAATTTGAAACTCATACCATATATTGTGGTGTATAATGTGCACTTCCCATACAAAAAATAAGATTGAGATTCACGGGTGTGCATCATTTGCCAGATGTAAAATTGATAGATTTAAAAATAAGGAAAGGATGAGCATACAAAAATTAGATTTCCACATATACTTAAATGCTGTTCATTGTAAAGAAATGACATATCTCATGAACTTTTCATTATCAGATAACATGAAAAGTTTGTCACAATTGCTTTCCATTATACTTTCAAACACATCATCAAATTCTGTTTCATCTTCACCATCACTGTTACTCCGATCCATAAATAAATAATCATCTTCCATTCTGCCTTAACAGTTAGATATGCTACAGTAAAAACCCTAAGTCTTGCTAATCTTAGCTTTTCTTAAAGTGGCTTGGTAAAAGTCTGAAGTATTCTTTAATATGATTCCATTTTGGCTTTTCACCAACCCTTTGCGGTAAAACTTAGAAGTTACCGACGCATTCCGGTAAAAGGCCGAAACGAGGGGTTACTTATATTAGGATTTTCCATTTTCAGATACAATGTATACTAAGTGTCCCAAAAAGGTTGAAACACACTTTAATTTTTTAATTCATAATATAAATTGTAAAAGTGATCAAAATATGCTATGATTTAAGATTATGTTGATTGAACTGTCTTGCAATTATTTATCAAAGAATTACAAGAAATAAAAAAAATGCAGTATTTATGCCATTTCACAAATAAGATCCCTCGTGAAAAAGCTAAACTAATGCACAATTCTCTTGATAACTACTGAAGAGATTTCAATAATTTTTATAAATAATTTTGGCAATTGTTAAACAAATTAAATCAATATCTCAGAAAATAAAAATTTTGAAATTTAAAAAATAAGAAAAATGTAGCCTGTTTTTCTTTAATACTTCTTACTACCTGTTACAACAAGGTTGACTGTTATAGCATTTTGAATTACAAAGTAGATCAGCTGATTTGCATAAACACATCTTCATAATACACTTCTTTGAACAGTTGCATTTTCTGAGTCCTTGTCCCCCAACTAAAGTAAGTTTTTATTACATCATGTACCCTTATTTCTTCTGTATCAAGTTCTTCGATGTTTAAAAAATGTTCTTTGCAAAAGGTAAACTTGTTTCTTGTGTACAATGATTTTAATTTACCAAACTTAGCACCAAGAATATAAAACTCGTCATCTTTAACATCTGTGAAAACAGCTATTACTGATTTTGGTTGCATTTTTGATCTATCAATATCAGGTAATTCCCTCTCATTGTTGGAATGGAGAATACTCGGAGCTCCACAATTTGTGAAAATATCCAGGAGGGGAAATGCTACTTCATTAGCTTTTTTACTGTGTAAACTTCGAAGTTTACACAGTAAAAAAGCACACTAAGTACAAAATTTGAAGCATAAAATTGGTACTTCGAATTAGAAGTACAAAATTAGTGCTTAAAATTAATAATTCAAAGTACAAAATTCGAAGTAGAACGAATTTTGCAAGATTATCTAGATACGCTAAAATGAATTTTATATCACGATCAGGATTGGACTGCATATCTATCAGGTCGACTCATCCTCGAGAATTCATTTCACTATGCACAATTGGTTTGATTATAATCTCCTTTTTCACAGGGTTTTGTTTTTTGATGACATGGTTCACATAATCTCAAATATGTGATAACAGATTCTATTATTACATTCCTGCACTTGCGATTCAGTTCCTTAATCATACGGGTTCTTCCACCACGGCCAACTGTGATATGAGTGTTGTGTATGACATTGAATACTTCACCAGTTGTAACATAATACAGGATTTCTGCTTTTTTTACAGATAGTGGTGCAGTAAATATGTCCTCTCCTCCAATATTTAGCATATCATAGCATTTCAACCTTCTGTAATGAACTGTTTGTTTTAACTTCACATATTTTGCTTCTTTCATTTCATTTATTAGAGAAGTATATTTCTCATTTGTTAAATAAAAGCAGCTAACATGCTTATTTTTTATTGATTCAGACAAAATGTTGTAAATTTTTTTCTGCATAACATCACTCATTTCCTTTCAGCAAAATAAAAAATATGTTAAAATGGAAACAAACTGCTTCCACTTTAGGTCTTTCAGAATCCTTTTCATAGACAGTTACACTTGCTTGAATTCGCTAGAAGTTAGACTGCAAATGGCGTAAATAAGGAGGGGCAAGAACACAAAAGTATTGCGACGGAATTTGTGTACGTGGGCTTATTCACAATCAATTTAAATCCCTTGTTTCAGGCTTTTACCGGAAGGCATTGGTAACTCCTAGGTTTTACCACAAAGGCTTGGTAAAAGGCTAAAATGCAATCTTATTAAAGCATACTTCGGACTTTTACGAAACCACTTTGGAAAAAGCTAGATTTTGATTGGTAAAACCTAGGTTTACCAGACTTTGGGCTTTTACAATAACATTTTTAAATGACTTGAAATACGTCGGATTTAGTTTCATTACATACTTTGATTATTAACCCATTCACTATTACTAAACTGGCATGATGCACTTGGCCTCCTTTTGTAACCATTTTTTCACCTTCCACTGTTATTTAAAATTTTCTTTGAATGGTTTATTGGTAGATGCATCTAATGGCTGGACTAATGGCATTAATCCCCCTGGAATAACTGCCATGTCTGTATTACACACTTTCAGCAATTTCTCCGTTTCTCTTATCTGTTAGATGGGATCTGAACATATCCTAAACTAAAAGACTTTCTTGATTCTTTAATGCAAAAGGATGCTTATCCACAATTTTACACTGTTTCTGTCCACCCATCCATTCTCGTGAGCATGAATGAAAACACCATTTAGGAAATTATACTTCCGCACTGTACGTCTTTCAAAAATAAGCATGGGTTTAATTTTGCAGTGGCTGCTATTCAAGAAAGCACTATGGTGAGGTGACCTTTATCGTGACAACTTGTTTTCATAACTGTTTTTTTTCCTTTTCATATCAACAGATTTATGTCCTATCATATCAAACATTACAGGAATTTCATCCATATTTCCAATATCTGAAAGTAAAAAAAAATTTCTTTTGCTTTCGTATATCAATAGCACACGTCTGGAAACTTATCAATCTGTTGTCCAAATCTTTCAGAAACTTTTGTTTTTTCTTGTATAACTAAATTATTCCATGCCATAAATCAACTACACCAACTCAAAGTTGTTTTAAAGTTTTCCCTTTCATCGGCATTCCTTTTTGCTCATTTTATGGCAAATAAAACGTTCCCTGTTTCTTGTTACAATTAATCCCTTCTATCGTTTTCTAGGACCCAGTTTTTTTCTTCTAAGGCCATTTTGTTATTCCTTTATACAAAGCACATTCATTCTTTGGCATATTAATTATTGTGATTTAATTTTTCTTCCACTCTTGTGTGGAGTTTTCAGCAACACCAAACATACTTACTGCAGCAAGATTTCCATTATCTTTCACAAACTGAATGACTTTGAAACCAGCACTGTATTTTTTTTTATTTGGCAGGAGCCATATTTACTACTAAAAGTGACTCTAAATCAACTGAATTTCAAATAAAGCCGTCAATATTCACCTCAAAGTCATAGCTTCAAATCACTACAGAAAAAGAAAACATTATCTCTTAATTCTGTGAATTCATTAGGGTCAGAAGTGCATTCTTACCTCACATTATATCCCCCTTTTCTCAAAACCCTAGAATAACATTCTTGTGCATATCTGCATTGAATACAGCCCACCTTCTTTTTTGCAGAATTATTTACTTTCTCAAGTGTTTACCCCACACACATATTGTTACCCTTATCGTTTGTCAATTCAGTATACAATTAGTTATACTATTAGTAAATTAGTTCACAATTTTATGAAAAATCTTCAAATGAATGGGTTCAGAAGATAAGAGCATCGACACGTATCTTTCAGCTTTCTTCGCAAAGAAAGAGGTGTATGTTACATGTCGAATATACCTAAAAATGTAGTTTGAAATGTCAGGTGTGCATTATAAACTGGAATATACAGTATATTTCATAGCAGGTGCATAATGCAAAAAACTGCAATTATTATTACTAAAATTGCAAAAATAAAATTGATTCCTATCACATATAAAATGTTCGTAGAATCTTTTACCCACATTTTAAGTATATCAGATTAAAGTATAATGTAAATTTGTGTTAGAAATTAATCAAAATACAGTACCACGATTTCAAGTCTTGCACAAATAAAATTAAAAATAATTACACTTTGTTTCAATTTTATTTCAATCTTGATAATAAAATTCTTACAGTTAATTCACCATTATTAAAATTATCCAAAATAAAAATTTAAATGTAGCACATTTAATCTCTCCTTTATTGCTTTTTCCCCCCTTTTCTATTGCAACTTTCCAATTATAAAATGCAATGTTTTCATTTGAAGAAAAAGTTTAAATACAGAGTCTTTTAAGCTGAAAATATTTAGTTAATCAAATACAAAATGCAACATTGCATTCTGTATTTGAATAACTAACTATCTTCAGCAGCATTCAGTTACTTTCATTGCAGTCTCCATAAAATTCTTTTATTAGCTTCTTAAAAGTAATGAAATTCATAAAATTGGGTTTATAAAGTTCTATGATTTTTTTTATTAAAATATTCCATTTCTTTCTTTTTACCCTTTTTTTAAATACTTTTCTTTCTGCATAAATGGTTTAATTCTTTAGTTTAAAATAATTAAAAAAAATATTCTTGGTGGTATGAAATAAATATATTCTTACTTATTTTTAAAAATTATAAATACTGTGGCAAGGGGGTGGACATTGAGCAGAGTTTTTATATATTTTATATCTTATCTTCAACATGTAAAACTATTGGCAAAGCAACAATACAGAAAATCTATTAATTTCTGACAAGATATAATATTTTCAAGGGTAGAAAAAATTAAATTAGATTTCATATTAATGACTGATATTTATTTTTGTAATATTTTGTGCATTTTAAAAATATAGTCAAAAAGACAATCACGAACAAACCTTATGAAAAGATTAATAGGATGTGCTAATCGAGTTGCTCGAAAGTTGCATAAATCTAATGAAAATGAGAAATGCCTAGCACTACCATCACTTTTCATTGGTACAGACACAGGTCTTCTATTCAAATTTCTAGTATCTCCACAGTCTGGAGGGGTGCTGTCAGAAGAATGATTACATGGAACAACATCAGGGGCATTAGGTTCTTTGATGTGAGTAGAATGTTCATCTCTGGGTGAATCTTCAGGGGAAAAAAGATAAAGAAATATTTTGCAAGACAGTTAACAAAATTTTAAACATCAGCAAAAATGCTAAAATTGAAGATAATGAAGAAATTAATTTAATGAATAAATTTTAGTAAACTGAAAGAAATATGAAATCCTTCTATCTGAAGTTTATAGTTTATTAAAAAATCCATGCATATTTTATTTATTCATGAAAATTTTCATTTCAAGTTTGTAACATTTGATGAAAAAGTGTACATAAAGCTGCAAAATGTCTGAAGTTGAAAATATGTTATATAACAAAATCTGCAAACAACATAACAAATCTAATGAAAATTACAATATCTTAAATGTTACAGAATTGTTGCTTTCTGAATCTGAAAATTTAGAGTAGATTGCAAACTTTCTATAATACAAGTTGATTAGTATTCTGGTATTCAACTTCAATTACATTTTACATTACTTTGGTTAGCCCTTAAGAGTCAGATTCAAATCATTCAATCAATTTGCTAATTAGATTGGAAAATTATATACTTTGAAAAATTTAATAAATTTTACAAAGGGATTATGCAATAATTATTTATACAGTCAAAAGTCGTTAATTCAGACACCCATAATCCGGAATGATCTATAATCCGAACCTCAAAGCTAAAAACTTTCTGCACATGCGCATAAGCGTTTACGTGTGCACGTAAGACCTTTTATGACTGTGCATATGTGTGTGCGCAAGCGCAGAATACGTTTTCGCATGCGCGTTTTATGTATAACGGACGGTATAAGCTAAAATGATCTAATTATCTATTTCAGTTAATGTTGATTATTGCGTTGTTCCTTAATCTTCGAATTGGATCCGGGTTATTATTTTTTGCAGACTGTAAGAGCAATACTATAAAAGTAAACTTGAACTTTCGATTATGTCAAATAGAATTTCCGATTCTGGAGCTCCCAAAGGATCGTACAAAAACGAAAGTATGTTTCGATGTCCATCAAACAAAAAGTGGAATTGCTGCAAAAAGTGGATAAAGACATGAAGAATGTGACAGAGAGGTTAGTGAAAACGAAAAAATTTCGATTGACAAGTTAGTCGGTAATCTCGGCACAGCAATTAACGGAACTTGAACAGCGGAACTTTGTAACTGAACAAGAAATTACGTCTGTTTATAGAATTAAAGAGAAAGTATTATCACATAAAACGAAGCAACTTAAACAACTCACATTGAAAGAAATGTTTAATAAAGTAAACAAATAAATATTAAGCTTTTTTTTTTTTTTTTTTTTTTTTTTTTTGTAAATTTTGATACCCTTTAGATCATAATTGTTCTTTTATTTCATAAATTACGGTTTCATATTTTTAATTTTAGAATTTCTGCATGCCATCTTACGAGATTTAAACTGATGATCTATAATCTGGAAAAATCGATAATCTGGAATCGCTGAAGTCCCGACGAGTCCGGATTAACGACTTTTGACTGTACTCAAAAAGCATCAAGACATTCTAAAAATTCGACTTTTCTTTCTTTTTTCTTTTTTTTATGCTATGAACCAAATCTTGTCTTTTCTTTTAGTCTTATTTTTCTCATGTTTAAGGGAAAGAGATTCAGGAAAATTTATGATATTTTCATGAGAACAATTGTACAATTTTAAGACATTATCGATGTGTTATTTTAATGTTTTAACACATTATCAGTGATTATTATTAATAATTTTAACACATTATCTTCTCTCTCTCTATATATATATGTATACATACTTTTTTTTAAGAACAGCTATCAGATTTTCTTCTCGAGAGAAAAAGTAGTAAAAATGCAACATTAAGTTCAATTATTTTTATAATGGACAAATTCTTACATTATACTTGATCAATGATATTTTCATACCAAAATTATTTACTTTTGACTTGTAAACCATTCTCTTTTACACTATAATGTAATGTACATTATATCCCCCTATCTACAAAATTGGTCTAATTATTGTTACATTTTTATTCTTTCATGCTAGCCAGCAATTAATTTTTGAATGTCTTATATATAAAGAAATTATGAAATCATTATGCAGCTAAAAATGGAAAGTTTATTTTACTGTTTAAAATCCCTAGACCAACAGTAGTGTTAGTAAGAAAAGCTTAAATTTTCTGTCTTTGCTATTATGGTTATTATTACTCAGGACCTACCCTGAACCTTAATAACCAAAGTGTTTTTCCCTCCACTTTTTATATGCATGTATGTTCCATCAAAACTAATCGCAGAGAAATGTTTTTACTACTCTAATAGCATAACAAACAGTTCAGCAGTTTGGGTGAACTACATCTAGTAACTTCAAAAGTATTTAATGAAATTAATGCCGAGGCTTTAAGACTGCCTGCTTACACTAAGCAGAACTGCTAGGCAATCAGACCTTAATATGCATTATTATGTGGAAGTGGTACAGAATTGTTCGTTCTGAAATTTTAAGCCTTCAACTTTATGTCTATGACAGGTATAAAGAAAAGGGAAACTGGAAAACTGCAGCAAAAAAGATGATGTCATTCCCAACTTTATGAAGAACCATCATTTGGTATTCATATCAGATATGGAAATGTGCTACCTTTGACAGAATGATACTAAATATCTAGAAGTGTAAAATGTTTATCTTCGATAATTATGCGCTTTTTTTGGCAATAAATGACCACACATTTATTTTTTTATTGATCAATTTATCTGGCTGATGAAGTAGGTATGTGTAGCAGGACCTTGCAGTTTACTAAAAATTTTACCAGCATCAAATATGCATATGGTTACCATTCTCTGATAGGCTATAGCTTAAACTAGTTTAGTCCAGAGTTTCATGACTCACAACAATGATAACTCTGATACTTATGCCTTTGAGTAGGGCTCAGCAACTTATGACTTGACGGTCACCGAGTGATCATTTCATAATTTCAAGTGATCTAATTGAATTTCGAAAATACAATACATATAAATGAATTGCAAAATCAAAATATGAAATGGATACTTGAAAAATACATACAAATATTAAAAAAAACCGTAGCATAATTTCAAAGAGAAATTGATATCTTTGGCAATGCCAATCCATAATTCCATGACAAACATCTAGCAAACTGGTGTCATTCTCTCAGCTCACACTAAGTAGCACTTGTTCAGTAGTGCACGAATAGTGATGCAATTATAGCAATGCAATGAAATAATTATTATTATTACCATGGAGAAACAAAAACCAAAAAAGAAATTACTTCAAGATGTGTGGAAAGAAATGTATGGGTGTACTGAAAATAATGACAAATTGACATGTACTTTATGCACAGATGTAATTACCACCAGAACTTAACACTTTTGAGCAATATTTTCTTTAAAACATAAAAATGTTAGTAAATGTGAGTAAAATGCCAAATTGAGAATAATCTAAATATATTGTTAAATGGATATTAAATTTTGGAAAACAAAGTAACGATTTTGTAAGATTAAAAACAAATCATTGAGAATTAAAGCAATGCCATCGTCAGCAAACAGTCCAACATCACATTGAAGCTATGCCCAAGAACAGTGATAAATAGGTAAAAAATAATTTATTATCTAGTGATGTAATTAATTAGCATTGCACTCGATGAAGATACCAATGCAAACAGTATGCATAGACTTGAAACTGTTATTAGATATGCATCAATAAATAGCTCAAAAGTCAATGAAAAACTTTGCAGTCTTGCTTTTATGAATGACATGACCTGACCTGACCGAGATTTTTCATGAAGTACATGAGTTTACAAATTTCAAAACTGGGCAAATGTTGAATTTAAAAAGGAAACTGTTTTCCAAAATAACTGATGGTGCTCTAGCAATGAAAGGAAAATCTCTTAAGATTTATGAAACTACTGAAAAATAAACTTGGCCATGCACTTTTATCATTTCATTGTGTCACAATGAAGAAAATGGTCTAATTATTGTCTAATTAAATAAACTCATCTAATGACAATTAGATAAGTTTCATAATTGTTTAATTAAATAGTAAAAAAGGTTGTACAGTGTTGTTAAATAGTAAAAAGATCGTAAAAATGATAGCAGCATAATCAGCATTTAGTACACAAGCACTTCAAAGCTTTTTTGGCAGAAACTGAATCAAACTATGGAAATTTGCTGTTACATTTGGAAATATAATTATTGAGGCAAATTTCTAATACTATAATTATTGAGGCAAATTTCTAATAGATTAATAAAGCATTTTGATGAGAACATTTCTCTGTGAAATCAGTGAACATGACATTGGGCTGAATGATAATGGATGATTTTTAAAATTTTTGTTCTTATCAGACATAATGAACCATTATAATTACAATTAATTAATTGTATTTCAACTGAAGACTTCAAGGAAATAACCACACAATTCTGAAAATGTATGAGGGATAGAAGAGT